CCATTGTCCCCCTTGCCCCACATCCCCATTTCTTGCCACACTCGGTGTATAATACCATCTAGTTAAGCATTTATAGTTCATTTCTACTGTGTTCATATTCACCACCCCGTGCATCAATGTAAACAGTTTGTTCTTCTGTTGCTCATTCATTTTTGTACCCAATTCTCTTTTCCATTTCTCTAAGAATAGCGGAGGTACAGATCCCATCCACTCAATAAGGATCTTATATATCCTAGAGGTTACATGTTTATGTACTATCCTAGAACTAAACATTTTTTGAAATGGAAGCATGTCCTGCAGCATCCTTAGTGGTTGGGGAGCGTAGAGACAAAATGTCCTAATTGGTAATATCTAAATTCATCTAATGTATAAAATAAATCTTTTTTACTTTTTAACTCTTGAAAACTACATAACTTCCCTTTATCTACTATATCTCTTAACCGTACATTACTATATTTAAACCATTTCCCAGAAATACTATCATTCCCTGGTGGAAAAAAGTCCGTATCCACCAGGGGCATCAAAAGTGCATTGTGCTTCCAACCCATTGATTTATGCAGCCCATCCCATAATATCAACACCTCCCGTGTCAGTGTTTTACTATTTTCATCTAAATATCGAAACATTTGTGGGATCCAGGTAATCCTTTCTAATTGTGTTTTACTTAATATACCTTCATTTTAACCCAACTTTTATCTTGTAAATTGTGTGTCCAATCTACCACCTGTGATAATAACACCAACATATAAGGTGAAATTCGAAAAATTAGAATATCGTGCAAAAGTTCATTTATTTCAGTAATGCAACTTAAAAGGTGAAAGTAATATATGAGATAGACTCATTACATGCAAAGCAAGATAGTTCAAGCCGTGATTTGTCATAATTGTGATGATTATGGCTTACAGCTCATCAAAACCCCAAATCTACAATCTCAGAAAATTAGAATATTGTAAAAAAGGTGCAATATTCTAGGCTTAAAGTGTCCCATTCTAATCAGCTAATTAAGCCATAACACCTGCAAAGGGTTCCTGAGCCTTTAAATGGTCTATCAGTCTGGTTCAGTAGGAATCACAATCATGGCAAAGACTGCTGACCTGACAGTTGTGCAGAAAACCATAATTGACACCCTCCATAAGGAGGGAAAGCCTCAAAAGGTAATTGCAAAAGAAGTTGGATGTTCACAAAGTGCTGTATCAAAGCACATTAATATAAAGTTATGTGGAAGAGAAAATTGTGGAAGAAAAAGGTTCACAAGCAGCAGGGATGACCGCAGCCTGGAGAGGATTGTCGGGAAAAGGCCATTCAAAAGTGTTGGGGACTTTCACAAGGAGTGGACTAAGGCTGGAGTCAGTGCATCAAGAGCCACCACACACAGACGGATCCTGGACATGGGCTTCAAATGTCGTATTGCTCTTGTCAAGCCGCTCCTGAACAACAAACAACGTCAGAAGCATCTTACCTGGGCTAAAGAAAAACAGACCTGGTCTGTTGCTCAGTGGTCCAAAGTCCTCTTTTCTGATGAGAGCAACTTTTGCATCTCATTTGGAAACCAAGGACCCAGAGTATGGAGGAAGAATGGAGAGGCACACACTGCAAGATGCTTGAAGTCCAGTGTGAAGTTTCCACAGTCTGTGTTGATTTGGGGAGCCATGTCATCTGCTGGTGTTGGTCCACTGTGCTTCATTAAGTCCAGGGTCAATGCAGCCATCTATCAGGAGATTTTGGAGCACTTCATGCTTCCTTCCGCAGACGAGCTTTATGGGGATGCTAACTTCATTTTCCAGCAGGACTTGGCACCTGCCCACACTGCCAAAAGCACCAAAACCTGGTTCAATGACCGTGGGATTACTGTGCTTGATTGGCCAGCAAACTCACCTGACCTGACCTGAACCCCATAGAGAATCTATGGGGCATTGCCAAGAGAAAGATAAGAGACATGAGACCAAACAATGTAGAAAAGCTGAAGGCCGCTATTGAAGCATCCTGGTCTTCCATAATACCTCAGCAGTGCCACAGGCTGATAGCTTCCATGCCACACCGCATTGAGGCAGTAATTGCTACAAAAGGGGCCCAAACCAAGTACTGCATACATATGCATGCTTATACTTTTCAGAGGTCCGATATTGTTCTATGTACAATCCTTGTTTTATTGATTGCATGTAATATTCTAATTTTCTGAGATTGTAGATTTGGGGTTTTCATGAGCTGTAAGCCATAATCATCACAATTATGACAAATCACGGCTTGAACTATCTTGCTTTGCATGTAAGGAGTCTATCTTGTATATTAGTTTCACCTTTTAAGTTGCATTACTGAAATAAATGAACTTTTGCACGATATTCTAATTTTTTCAAGTTTCACCTGTAATACTTCCTCATATTTGGCATATTTAATTCTCTTTTCTCTTTGTTGTTACATAAAACCTCATACTTAATTCTTGGTTTCTTATTAGCCCATATAAACCTCAGTATAAATTTTCTTATTATCCTAAAAAAAGATCCTGGTAAATATATTGGAAGCATTTGAAACTTATACAGGATTTTTGGGACTATCACCATCTCAACCATATTAATACGTCCAATCCACGAAACCCACCCTATTGAGAGTCTTCTCAACTCATCTTTAATTTCATTTATTAATGGGATATAGTTAACTTGATATAAGTTATTTATTGAGGGGGTTAACTGTATTCCCAGGTAGCTTAATTCCCTCCCCCTCCATGTAAATGGAAAGTCTTTTTTACAGGGTCTGCATCTCTACCTTTGAAACATTGATATTTAAGATCTCAGATTTTGAAAGGTTTATTTTCAGGTTTGACAGCTCCCCATATCGTTTTAATAATCCCATTAAATTAGGCAACATCAGTCTAGGGTTAACAATGTAAAACAGCATATCATCTGCGTACGCTGCCACCTCAAGTTCTACTTCTATCTTAATTCGTTTAATATCCATGTTCTTTCTTACCAATGCAAAGTGGTTCCAGGGATAGGACAAATAGCAACAGGGATAATGGACACCCCTGTCTAGTATCATTATACATTTTAAAGGTCCCTGATAGGGACCCATTCACCTTGACTGCTTCAGAGGGGCAGTGACCTCCTGTCTGCCAGGGTGGAGCCCAGAACCCTGGTCCTGACTCTAGAAGTGAGCCATGCACACCTGAGCAATCAGTATCCTGGCCATTCACAAAACATGGTCCCAGGATTGGAGATTTTATCCCTCCCAAATCACTTTGAAATCTCCAGGCTCCAGGTCCCAAAATGGACTTTACAAACAACTGAGGAACATGAAAAGCCCCTTTCCTCTGCATCAACCAAGTACCCTGGAGCCCCTCAACCTGCCTTGTTGAGAATCCCGGGTGAAATAACCTTTCCACATTGTGACAGATCACCACATTGTCACGATAGCTTAACCTTGGTATCATAAGATAGATGTGTCTCCCATTTGATTTCTATTTTAGGGTATGGCTCTGAACATGTATGCCTATCCTGATCCCCCTCTCCCAGCATGGGTTTTTATTTTGTTATTTCATGTCCTACTAGGCCTCCAGACGTACCTCCATATCTAACATATCTTACTTCATCTTCCTCCTGCTCCCGTTTAGTTCTGGGCTGATCCCTCACTTTTCTCATGATCATCCTTACCCCATGAGGCAAAATCTTGCATGGAGCTGCAAACCAAGGATGACTGATGGTTATTTTGTATTTCTTTCATTTGCAAATAATCGCTCCAACAGTTGTCTCCTTCTCACCAAGCTTCTTGCTGATGGTGATGGTCTTGTAGCCCATTCCAGCATTGTGAAGGTCTACAGTCTTGTCCCTGATGTCCTTTGACAGCACTGTGGTCTTATCCATGATGGTGAGGAAGAATGCGATTCTGTAGACAGGTGTCTTTTATACACATAAGTTGTCGTTAGGAGCACCTTCTTAAATTGACAGGACTAATCTGTGTACCACATGAGCACACAGCCTGTGGGAGCCAGAATTATTGTTGGGATCAAATACTTATTTTACTCACTTTACTGCAACTCAATTTATAACATTTGTATTGTGTATTTTCTGGATTTTTGGTTGATATTCTGTCTCTATCATTTAAAGTACATTTATGCTAAAAAATTATAGACCCTTCATTTCTTTGCAAGTGGGCAAACTTACAAAATTTGCAGGGGATCAAATAATTATTTCCCCCACTGTATGTCTTTTGACAGCAGCCTAGAGACCAAACATTTGCAGATATCCTATCAGATGCAAAACAGGAAAAAATCCCCATAAGGCATGGCTCCCTTTGCTTTAGAGGGAAATAAATCCTTCCTGACCTCTTAAGGTAACCAGAGAAGTCCCTGGAATCAGATTTTTGATATAGTTTTATAAAGGTCGGCAGCTCTATATATTTTATTCTTTTAGGAAGAAATACAGAATTGCTGCAATGAAAAATGTATCTCTGCTATAACCAGCTCCTTTGGAAAACTCAAATACATTTGAGTGCTCCTTTTACAGCTGGATATAAAACCACTTCTCTTTTAACTGTAATGGCTGACCTTGTGTCTTCATGATAATCTTTTAGTAAATAGTTTTCTAGGGACTGGATACAGCACTTCATCTTTCTAAAGAAAAATTCCCCTCCTTTAGTCAAGTATATTAATAAATATAAAGTTTTTTTTGCACCAAAACCAGACACTTCTATTTTGCTTGCCAGACGTCTTGCATTTCAAAACATGCATAATCATTTACAAATTTAATGTGGGAAAAACACAATACACTAATGCATTATCAACTCCTATTCTGAGCTCTAACATTTTTCTACAATATCCTCTCATCCTTCCACTAGAGTGTTGCAACATAACATGAAGATAAATATCAGAAAATAAACAATTGCCAAAATGAAAAAAAAAAAAAAAAAAACACGAGAGTTCTTCCAGTAGTACTACAAGGTATTAGAACATTGCATTTAGTTTTTATTAAATAATTCAGGTTGGTATGCAAAAAGTCTTTAAAAAATACCTTTTCGTTTTCTTCTGCATTTTCACTTTCTCCATTTCCATAAAGTTGGGCATATATCTTCCAGATTTCAGCATCACTTGAATCCTGGGCAGTTACTCTCCCAAATAATTCTTGCAACTTTCCTTTTAGATTGCTTGTTGACTCTCCTCTGCAATCTTCAATTCCTTCAACTACTGCTCTAGCTAAGATTTTCAGAACCTACACAAAAATAATTTATCAGTAGAATATACTCAAAATATCAGGGGGTACAAAAAAAAAAAAGCATGAATCCAAATTATTCAATGGTATGTCACCAAAGGCAATGACTCTGGCAATGTCAATTTTACATACTCCTAACCACTGTATTCTTTATGCTGTACATCAAATACTTCTGACCACTGCACTGACAATGGTATATTGGTGTATATACTCCTGAACTTCATAAGCTTTGCTGTATATCAAATATTCCTAGCTGTCACCCACTATAAGCTGTGTTGTACATTACAGACTCCTGACCAAAGTGGTCATTGTCTCAAGAACTCTTGATGCTAAACAAATCACCAACTACATATATTAATGAAGTTCTTTAGGTCTACCTTACTGTGGCAAAAATATTTAATTTTTAAAGGTTTGTTTTTATTTTGTTTGAGTTGATTGTAGCCATATTAGTGCAAATAAAAAAAGTATCACGGACAGTACTCAATTGTTTTTATTTTGTAATATTCTTTGTCCTGAAGTATAAGTCTCTGAAACTCTACCTATGGCACAGTAAAAAAGGCATTTTTTTTGGAAACAAGGGTCGTCACAAATGTATGCATTGTATTCATTGAACAGGTTTGGGATCTTTTACCATGCCCATTTGAGCCACCCACTGTTCAACTCCATGTGGTCATCACCACTGCTTGCAGCTCTGATGATGTTCTTTTACTTGTGTGCCCAAGGATGACTCAAGTCAATTAAATTCCTAGTAATTACTCTGCATGTTACTAATTCTTATAATTGCTTCTCTAATGCAGGTTGCATCAACGCTTTAGCTCAAATACAAAGCTCTCATTTTAAAATTTTTTATTTTTATTGCAGAATGCACGAAAGTCATAACAGGACAAGAAGCAAAGAAGTACAATCCAAATACGATTGCCAACAGGGCAATGTTCACAAAAATGAATGTGAAGACGTATTCCTCAATATTCTTAATCCATCGCCAGTATCAATATTTAATTAATGTTTAAACAAAAATACTAAATCGAAACAGAGAATATTTTTAGGACATTTTTGAGCATAATGACATTTAATTACTGTATGCTACTGAACACAGTTTGTTAGCTAGGGTGGATCTGTGACTTTTTGGGATATATTTATAAAGCAGTTAATCTGACATTCATCAAATGGCAGTGATTGATTCACCACCAGTGAATGCTAGGTGAAAGTTTAATTTATTGCATTATAAATATATGCCCCTAAAATCATTTAAAATTGCATTTATTTTTGAAAAACAGTCAAACAAACAAAACTGACTGTGATCAATTACAAGACACGCTGTCTGCAGAACTTCCCAACAGTCTCAACCAGATGATTTATTAGCAACAAAGGGAAGCAATGCCTATTGGAGACCTCCTATGGTAAAGTATAACTGTAAAGAGAGAAATATATGAAAATGCTAGCTGCTTTCATACCAGCACTTTGGCAATTTTTCTAGTTACAGCCCAGAACAAGTAAGCAGTTAAAGAATTCTGACTTTTATCTAATGTTCACTTGTTGCATGATGCTCTATGTTTATGGTTCAACAGTTGCATAGTTAGTCAGCTTGAAAAAAAGACACAAGTCTATCCATTTCAACTAAAAGAAAACAAGACATCTAAAACCCCCATATACACAATCCTATACTCATATAGTTGATCCAGAGGAAGGCATAAAAGACCAATAAAAGCATGATCCAACTTGCTTCAGTGGAGGAAAAAATTCCTTCATGATTCCCCAGGAGGCAATCAGATATTCCCTGGATTAACAATCTCTGGCGTTATTACCTATAAGTGTTATTATCCAGTTACATTTTGTACATTTAGAAATGCATCCAACTCTTTTTTTTAAAAGAATCTACTGAGATGGCCAGAATTAGTTCTTGAGACAGTCTGTTCCACATTTTCACTGCTCTTACTATGAAGAAGCCTTTCCATATGTGGAGGTTAAATCTCTTTTCCTCCACACGTAAAGAGTGCTTCCTTGCTCCCTAATGACCTGAAAGCGAATAACACTACACCAAGTTCAAATTATAGGGGCCACTTATGTATTTATACATGGTGATCATATCCCCCCTGAATTACTTCTTTTCAAGAAGGAATAAATTCAGTTCAGCTAACCTTTCCTCATAGCCGAGCTCCTGCATGCCTCTCATCAGCTTGGTTGCCCTTCTCTGAACTTTATCCAGTTCTCCAATAGCCTCTTTGTGAACTGGTGCCAAAAACAAAACTGCATATTCCAGCTAAGGTATTGCTAATGTTTTGTACAGGGGAAAAATTATGTCTGGGGATGATTAGTGATGAGGGTCTATACCTCTTTTAAAAAAGCATTTTTGCATTCACATGATTAGATGATGAAAGTCAGCAGAGCTCCCTTCATTTACTAAGCTCTGGAGCAACTGCACTTGCAAAGTGCAGAGTCTATTTGCCCTTAGTAAATTAACACCAGTTGTTCTCTTCATCGAATGTATGATCCATGCATGTTATTTAGCCCCCAAGTGCATAACTTGATGATTATAAACATTAAACCTCATTTGCCACATAGCTGACAAATAAATAGTGCATTTAGGTTGGCTGGTTGGAGACATCCCCTATCCTTGTGAGAAAGCCAGGAAGGGTAAAACGCATTAGTTAGGTTGGTTCCCAGGAGGAGACATTGCTGCACGCAGTCATTTTACCTGATTTGCCACATAGCTGACAAATAAGTAGTGCATTGAGGTTGGCTGGTTGGAGACATCCCCTATCCATGTGAGAAAGTCAGGAGTGGTGAAACGCGTCAAGAAAGTTGGTTCCCAGGAGGAGAGATTATTGCATGCAGTCCTTTTGTTGATAACTGACAAATATGACAAGAGGAGCAAGAGTGGAGTGCGGCTGATACACTTAGTACATTTTTTTTTCCTAATTGTGATATGGTGTGGAAATGAACTACATTGGCTGACACCCGGATTGTCCATCTACAGGAGGGGAGAGCCTTGAGCGGAGCTGTGGATTTTGATACATTTCTGCTCAGAAAAAACATTATAATTATACATTATTACTATATACAAGTTTTCCACTGTAAACATAAATGGTTTAGGGTAAAAACATTCCTATAATGTCTTACTTGTCAGTGTGTCCCTGACTCCCCTGTATCAATGTCTTCCACTATATAATGATATACATTTTGTACCAATTTCTCTTATCATGTAGTACAGTAATAATTCAAACTACATGACTAATTACTATAATAAAATGGCTTTGCTTTTGGTATGAGCAATGGATCATGTCAAATATATGAGTAATTCAAGGGACATGTAAATATAAAATGGCTAACATTAATCAATAGAAAGCAGATTATTTGTGTATTAATGAACCAACGTTTGACTATCCATTTTGCTAAATAATACCTAGAACCAAGATCCCGTTTCACGAAATAGGCTGAAACAAAAGGTTAGGTTATGTACTCACTGGAAGACGTAGTAATATAATAGTGTCAGATTTGGCTAAGAACCCATAAAAGGAAAGCAGTCAAATATTTAATAACTTGCTATAAGAATGCAAGTTTCGGTCAATAGATTTTTATATTTTGCCTAATGCTAGAGAGATGAGCCAGGGTTTCTTAGTTATTTTAATGATGACCTGCTCACTGGTCTGTATACTTGCCATTAGAAGGGGATATGTAATGCTTATTATCTAATTTTAGTTTATATTATGGAAAATGCAAGAAAAGTGTAAACAACCCAAAATGAGTCAGAAACTATGGAAGTGAGATATTGCTTCTGAAATCCCCCAAAGACATACAGAAGCCTGTAGGTAACAGCCTACCAGACTCAAATATTGACTGTGATATAACTTTCAGCAGCTAACAGGAACAAAGCCTGTGAAAGCAAATGAGTAGTTGGTTTAGGGTTGTAAACGTTACCTGTTTAGTGCAGCATCAAGGGGTAACAGCAAACCTAAAGTTTTTTCTTATTTTTAACTTTAGGTGAGCTGAAGTGTCAACGCACACTAGCTTAAAAAATGCTGCTTCTACAGGAGATTTGCAGAGAAGTAGCTCAATGTTATCCAATGTGTCCATGCACATTAGGGCATTTAGAGGCTCAGCGTTTAGGGGCAGAGAAAAAAAACCCTTCTGGTTTGCATTTTTGAGAGGAGTTTTCTAGCAGAAAAAATGCCAAATGATTCTAAATGCCTGTGCAAAAATGCTCATAATGAGCGTTTTTTTTTCTGCCAAAAGAACTGATTTTTTTTAGGCTCAGTGTGCATGGATCCAGGCAAAAATACTTGGAATGTATAAATATTGTTGTGATTGTATCATATGTCAATTGTACTGTTAAGTATTTTTATCAATAAACAGGATAAGCTTAATTTAGATGCATTTTCCCACAGGAGGGAAGGAAAGGAAAATGTCTGATAATGCCTACCTGCACGTCTTTATATTTACTCCGTAAGTCCATGAGTCTATGATAAGCTTTGACTGCTTCAGTGAACTCCCCTACATCAGTACTGGTTAGAAGATAGTTTTCCCATATTTGCCAGTGTTCAAAGTTGCATTTAATAGCCTCTTGAAGTGTTCGGAAAGCCTTGTGCCTTTTAAAGAACAGTAAACATTAGTATACAGCAGATTATTTAATAGAAGTGCATTTATTGTACATGCAAACGCAAACTACTGAACTGAGTCATGTTTAGCATGGAATTATTTGACTTTGTATTTAAGTTCTTTTGGAAGTCCAATAAATAAGTAATTCAACTAACCGTTTACATTTTGCATTATACAGTTAGTTCTCTGCATAAATATTTGGACAGTAGAACCAAATGAAAGTGGATTTGACTTCTAAATGTTTGATTAAAAATGTGCAATACTTGCAATTATAACTATTAGAGTGCTTTTTAGACAGAAAATAACACATTTGTATGTAAAGCTGAAATAAAGCTTCAGTTAGATTCCATTGAACTGACATAGCTTATTCTGTTTGATTGTTGCCATTACATCATTATTTGAACAACCTTGGTACTCATCAGTAGGAAAAAATGTAATGGGAGGCTCTGGAATGATGAATTAAAAGGAAACTAATTATTTGTAACACTTTAATTACATTCCATTGAACATCTGAAAATGTAATATAGTAGCTGTCACTAACTTGAACTCTTCTAGTAGAAACTGTGTACTTAAAGTATCTTAGAGGATGTTTCTAAATAAAACCAACATGCTCCGTAGAGAAAACAATTCTTCTTATGAGACACAGTAGCATAGAATATTGATGGTAAGCAGATCAACTTATCAACACCCTAATACCATCCAGAGATTGATATATTGCACCTGTATAACACCCTGGCAAAGAATGCAGGAAGATTCAGCACAGTAGCAAACTTACTGAGGAAGCCCAGTCAAAACTAAATTTTGAGCTAGGATAGAATGATGAAGGTTAAGGACCTTGGCCAGTTTTTTGCTTTCTGTGGATATTGTGGAGTTATCCCACTACTTCTGGTGACACAGTGAATCACAGATCGTCGTAAAAGGCCAATCACAGAGGCCTTTAATCATATGATCAACTGTGTTCAACCACAGCTGTCACCGAGTAAACAAACACTGCCGGTTGTTATCGGCAATTTCTGAGGGGCAGTACAGTATTTACACTAATACACTGCTTATCAGTGCTGCCTCATCAGTGCCTATAGTGCCACCTCATCAGTATCCATCAGTGCAGCCTCACCAGTGGCCATCACTGAAGAAAAAAAAATTACTTATTTGCAAAATTTTATAATAGAAGCTAAGAAAAATGTTTTTTTTTTTTAATTTTCTCTTTTTTCATTTATTTAGCAAAGAATAAAAAAAAGTGGTGATTAAATACCACCAAAAGAAAGCTCTATCTGGCTCAAAAAAATAATACATTCATTTGGGTAAGATGTTGCATGACTGAGTAATTGCCATTCAAACTGTGACAGCACTGAAATCTGAAAATTGGCCTGGGCAGGAAGGGGGTGAAAGTGTCTGGTATTGAAGTTATTAATAAAAAAGTGTGTTTATTGCTTTGTCTTCCTTGGGTAGACTCTTCTCACTTGCAGTTTTGGTGACACAATAGGAAGTGAAGACAAAATTTCTCAACGGGTTTATAAATACAGCAATAAAAACCTGACTGAGGTTGTAACTTTCCCCATTCTATTCAAACAGGTGTGTTCCTATGTTTGCCTGCAAGGCACTGCAGTGATCTGTATTGTATCTCAAAAGAGGGCTGCTATGAATTTGCTAACATTTGTATTTCTCTAAAAATGTCCAGGTGACAAAATGGAAAGCGATGAAATAGATGAAAATAAAGGTTAAAAAGCCTAAAAAAAGAAAATGAATGCAGCCACCACATCTAAGGATTGGTAAGCTGCAATATATCACATTTTTGTTTTTGGGTAAATACCACTTTACGGCTGACGCAGAGTGATTAAAGGCCCTGAATAACAGAAGTGCAAGTTAAAAAAAAATGTAATGGGCTATGGCAACTAAACATTTTATGGGGCTACCTATAAGACACGTTTTGATGACGAAACGTGTCAGTCGGAACCTCCCTCTGACGTCATGGCACTGTTGGCCATTTTGGAAGTGGTCTTTTTGAATGCTTTTTTATTGTTCTACAGTCTGTAAGTAGGATTTTACTTGTGCAAATAAAGGATTGTGATATGTACTGCACTATGAGAGGCATGTTTTCTTTTTTATGATATCGTTTGGCTCCGTTTTAGAGTTCATATTTGGGTCTTGAAGGTTTGGAAGATTCATGATTCGGGCATGCACAGGAGTATCTGCTAACATTCTATATATGAAATGCTGTTTGAGACCACCTATAATTAAAGGGTCTCTATTTCTGGTAAGCCTCCATTTAAATATTTGGTGGTGGTGCACACGTTGGTGAATTATCTGAAGGAAGACTATCCATGATATTAACATCACACTTACAGCATTGAAATACAGTGGTACCTTTGGTTGTGGAGTTCTATCCTCATATGGACTTTATTATGTATCTAGAAGGACAATATGTCACTGTTTTTTATTTGATCACTTTTCACAGATTTGAATGTCTTCATAATGTATGTATATAACTAGTGAAAATCACACATTATTTTTTATTCATTTGTTTTTACGGATTTAAATGCTTTTTATAGGTACGAGGGCCTTCATAGTGCATATGTATGTTTAATGAGGTTTACTTTTTTACAATATTTTACAATACATAGTTTTTGAAAAGAGAGGATATCCTCTTTAATATTTGCAGCTTTGTAGGATAAGGTGATTGGAGACTTGCGCAGTTTGATCCTGTTTACATGACTAAAAATTTTACACATTTCTTTGGATTGTCAGTCAATACCTTACAACTCTGCCTTAAGAAACTTCAAAGGAAGCTATCTGTGAAAGCACGTCCACAGAACTGTTTTCATCTTACTAGAGCTGAACAACAACTTTGTTAAAGCTGAAACAGTTTAAAGCCAACGTGCAAGCCTCAACAAAAATTTAATGAGGCCAGATATAATATAAATATAAAGTTAAAGCTTAACTGCAGTTTTTGGTACACTTTACATAATTTGTTTGGGTCAAGCTAGCCCAAATTAACTATGCCCCTCACTAACATGTGAGGCCGCTGCTGTGCTGTGTGAACTGTATGTAACTGAGGCTACATACAGCATATAGCACTGTGTAACAAGCCGAGACTTTCCTGTCTCGGCCTCGGAACACGATAGAGTCTGTCTGAGTGGTGCTCAGAAAGTTTCCTCTGATTAGCTAAGTTCAAGGTGGGCTGATGATGTCACAACCTTGGACTCAGCCATACAGAGGAAGCTCTGTATTCATTGATAGAATACATCACTTTCTATGAGAGGTTGTGTGCTGCTCAGACAGACTCTATTGTGTTCCGGGGCTGAGAAATGAAAGTCTTGGCTCACAGTGCTGAATGTAGCCTCAGCTACATACAGGTCATACAGCACATCCAGCAACCTCACAAGTTAGTGAGGGACATAGTCGTTTGGGCCAGCTTGTATGTATGTAAAGTGTACCAAAAGTTCAGGTTTAAATGGCCTTAACGAATTCATTTATGCTATACTGCTAAAATAATTTCTTAATAAACATAGTAAAGAAAAATTAATATAAGGCAAATGCTGATAGGTGAATAATGAACATGAGAGTTTCAGTTGTACAGGAACTCCCTCACACAACTTCAAAGCAAGCTATCAGTGGAAGCAGATCCATGGGTATTATTTCATTTTACTACAGTTAAACATAGAACACAAGCCAAAATAAACGTTGTTTCATAGGAATAGGTTTCAAATCTCTGACAGTTACCAGAAGAAAAGCAAACACCAGGAAGGCGCCTGCCCAATAAACACATGTTCTAAATAACAGTTTTTATATGTGAACTGAAAGAACAGCATAATAGTAACCCTCAATAAAATGGTAGTATATCAATACATTAGCCTTGTAGTCATAAAAGAGTACTAAGAAAAACTAGCAAACTATAATAGTAGTATATCAATACACTTGCCTTGTAGTTGTGACAAAGTAGCCCTGCCAGCTGTCATTCCCATGAATATTCATTGGACTGCAGGAAAACCTCTATTGTGTCAAAGCATACTCTTAGAGATTTTGCTTCAGTGGCCAGCAACAGCACACTTACTGTGCAGGGGAATGAAAGCTGGTATAGTGTCAAACATCTGTGGTAGTGAGCCCTTGTAGATTGCCAACTCAGGGTTCCCCAGGGCATGGAGTCTAAGCCCCAGCCTGCTTCTTCACCAGAGCCTCTGATGGTGGGGATGGACTTGCAGCAAGCTGGAACCAGGTCGAGGCCCCCAGGTACGCCCAGCTGAGGATGCAGAGACCGCTCAAATGAGCAGAGTACTAAAGCGGGAGACAACACGAAATCAGATAGACAAGCTGAGGTCAGGATGGCCAGAAAACAAGCACAATCGATGGATGAAGCCAGGGTCGGTACACGGGTAGTCAGTCACAGGCTATAGGAGAGCAGCAAACAGGAGCTCAGAGAACTAGGAAGTTGCTCAGGCAAAGTGGGTTAGACTGAGCATGTCTTATATAGACAAGCAAACTAGGAGGTGGGCCAGGAAGTGATGGAAGGGAAGGAAATAAAACCCAAAGAATAGCAGGCAACGCCCATAGGTGAGCACAGACAAACCACACATGTGAAAGGAATCAGGGTAGGAAAAGCACTTCAGCAAGGAGGTAAGAATACACAAACAAAAAACTGCAGGCTACAGTAACTTGTGACATATTGCTTAGCCATGAAGACAATGTTACCAGAATGTGATTTTCTGGCTATGAAATTTGTTTGAGGGACCATCTTGATCCCAAACAAACTATTTGGAGTTAATGAAACCTGGAGATCAGCTTTAAATAAAAATTCTATTAACATTAGAGTGTATTCACACTCCATTTGCAAAGCATATTAGAAACCTGCACCATTGTAATAAGAACTATGCCAGATGGTCTGTCTGCCTTAACACTGCTAGTAAATAGGAAAACCAGCATATCCCTGTTCTGTGTAACCTGATCTCCCAGCTCATCAGGTCAGTAGTTGTAGAAAACTGTTGTTCTGTTTGGACTTGCCACTTTCTAGCATGGGATAGGTGATACGGATAGGTGATATATTGCATGATTGACAAATGCAAAGCATTCTCTGATTGGACAAGGTGGGGAGACAGGGCGGTGCAATTCTTTGAATAGCGCCCATGCCAAGCAGCTAACCTCTTGTTTTCAGAATGAAGCAGAGCAGCTGCTCAGCATGGGACCCAGAAGCAAATGGAGATCACTGTAGTAGCAGTGTCTACTTCAGTGATTTCCAGCTTCCAGGAGGATCAGCCAGGTATGGTATATATAGTTACACTGGTCCAAGTTGGACGAATGTAACTATTTATAAAATAGCCATACCTGGAATTCGTCTTTAAACATATCTAGCATGTGGTCTTTTGGCTTCACCCTTAAGGTTTTCCACTGACATCATAAATTGAAATAACCTCACTTTTACATAAAGGATGAAAATGCCTTTTAAGATTGAGATTTATAGGCTCAGGTAAGATCCTGACTGCACCACAGTAAAGTTCACTTCTTAAGTGATTTCTTAACAATCTCGCTTTTCTAAAGAGCGCCAAATGAATAAATAGGAACAAATTAAGGGCAAATTAGAGGCATATGTTTCATTTGGAACATATCACTCTAAGATGCTACAACATAAAGTGGTAAATCATAGTTATGTGAGAAGAGCTAAAGTACTTACATTAACCCAACAGAAATTGCCTCTAACCACCTGCTAGCTAGGGAAAGGGAGGGCAGGTTAGCTGCCTACAGATATTCGTGGAATAGACAGATGGCTTAAGCAGTTCTCTGTGAAATGCCACTGAACTGTATTTATGATAGCCTACATAGGGTGCAATTTCTTTCTGCTACTCTTAGGACTGGATGAACATTAAAGTAAATTAAAGCCCTGGAGAACATTTTTTAAATAAAATGTTATACTTTTAAGTACAGTGCATCTGCCCCAGTCCAAACTACTTTCCTTTGCAAAAATGCAACACATTTCCCCTGAGGCCCAGCTGGAGCATAGCTCCATTATTCCCTGGCACTTATGGTATAAAGCTTGTCATACATGGCTCAGTTTTTTTCATTCAGCCAGCCGGCTGTCCCAGTGCTTTCACAACAATGGAGAGAGAGTCAGCAGCTCTGGGGTAGAATGACTCACACAGGGCTTCATTCCTAGGTCCAGTGGCTAAACGTGCTACGTAAACTGTTACTGTACTATATAAATCCTGTATAATAATAATAGAGCTGCAGAGGAGTAAAAGAAAAAGTGAGTATTTGCAGCTTATTCAGTGTAAAAATAAATCCAGCGATTTATCGTTCCATCTTTGGAAGGAAAAAATCACAGGCGGCGAAAACTTTCAGTAGGCACTGTATTATATAAAGAACAAATTAACATTTCAGCAATATGGAAAAGTCACATCAAATGCATTGTGCTAAACAACTTCTTTTCTTAAGCTGTCACCAAAAAATATATCATCTGAAAAGGTTGAGTTAAGTGAAAAAGCAGTGGAATTGTAGAATGGGAACAGAAGTAGAATAGTAATCTCTTCACATGTGAGGCCAGGGAATTCCATATTTCTGATCTTGACTAGAGATGAATTTGGGCATCTACTTTTTTTTTTTTTTTTTAAAGTAGGTTTTATTGATTTTTAGTCTGTATTAGACAACGGCAATGATATACACAACAATCGTAACAGTGTCTCATTGTACAGGAGCAGATAACAGTATATCTAATATATAGTGACAAGTTCAAACACAGTGGAAAAAATCAGCAGTATCTTCACATCACTAAAACGAGGCTGAGTGGGAACATAGACCCATTTTTTGGAGTCTAGCATGGGTTTTGTGAACATGATGGAATAATTACAACTGCATTACCCTGTCCTTAGAGGAAATCACAGAGTCTGCATATACTGTATATGTTCACATTCTGACCAATTTTGATCTGAAAGTTGGAGTAGCAGAATGATCACTTCGTTTGGACCTGTTGCTCTGAACTTAAGGGCTGGAATAACCTAGCTGCAGCTCACTGAAGAAAGAGTTCTAGCTTGGGATGAGTTCTGAAAAAGCTTGAGCTCATCCGTAATCATTTCTAATCTTGAAAGTTAATCACATTTACAATGGCCATAGGTAAAATTATTAACTGAGACAGAAAATGTTTCGTATTTGCAGTAGACATATTAAAATACTTACTTCTGTTTTAGTCTGATGTATGCGGAAGACAAATTATTCCAAGCTTCTGCATTCTACAATTAAATAATAAATAGAATAAAACACTAAATACTTGAAATAATAGTGCACATATGTTCTAAGCACGTTTATCAAATATAATACAAACATTGGAGGTTAAGTACTGTATATAGTGCAAATACCCAAAACTGCATATTAAAATGTGAAAATACATATATTAAATCCGAAGGACAAATTTAGGAAGCCATTATCAAAAGCAGAGAAAGTACAAATATGAACCAGAATGGATTTGTGGACAGGTAATGCAGACTCTGCCTTAGAGTGTCAAATTCCAGTGACCTTTTTGCAGAACAAAAATGGCTTTTTTGGGAATTGCAATGAAATGAGAGGTAATTGAACTCTGCTACCCAAATGACTATATTACTATAGAGTTTTGTCATTGCTGGTCCTCTCTGAATGTTCTGTGTTCTTTTCAGGCTAAGATATTAGCTTTTATTGTATATGGGGTGACACTGGGCAATGGGTTACAAAACATACCTTATTTTGACCCAAGCTACAAGGAAGATTGGGAGTCCCACATATGCCTCGTTATTTTCACCCTGAGCAAATATCTCAACTTGCTCTTTTTCACTATCAGGTAATGTTCCACTTATGTTCAGTTTAGAAGCCTTTATTATTGCCCCCTTTCTACACAAACTCTCCTTTTGGCCTTGTTCATCAGGGCGCAAAGTAATTTCTAGGATTATTACTTCCCATTCTTTTAAAATGTGGCGTTCAGTTAAATATTCTGGCAAACCTCTATCCCCACACCTTCCTTTAATCTCCTTTTTAGGTAACCCTTTTTCACTAGTGGTTGAGATTCTCCCCAAACTTTTTCTTGGTGGATGGACACAAAACTGACTTGCCTGTACGATCTCCTTTGTCTCAATGGATTTAAGTCCTCTGAATCTCTCAAAGAATTGTATAATATACCACCTTAAGAAATGTTTTGATCTGTTCAAATTAAACATTACACATCTTCCCTGCTTTGCTACTCTGATACTCCTTAGAGCTTACAACATTTGAACATTTTGTAACACAAAACCACAGTCCTGGGCATTATCTCCACTATCTACCTGCTGCTATTAATGTCTTACTTTTCTTAACCACCTGGTCTTGGGATTGAAATCTCTTAAAAAGGCTGGTGAGATATATGGGTTAATACTGTATGTCTATAAAAGATTTATTAATGTTCTAGCTACTGAATAAAATGTGAAGTGCCACAGCATTGGTATCTGGTACTTTTCTGTCTATTCTGCATGATTCTAGGTACCCTTCTGCTTTTTTTCTTTAACGGGTAACCCTTCTGCTTATTTTAAGTGCTGTTTAGAACCTGGTACAGTTAGACATATTTTTTGGGATTGTCCTAGTAGATGAAATTTCTGGTCCTGGGCCTGTGAACTAATTTATACGGTTTTAGATAGAGCCCTGTGGAAGCACCCATTAGAAGCCTTGTTAGGTAAGAAACCAGAAGACAGAATTCCACTTGATCTCCTTTATTTTTACTGCAGCAAAGCAAATTGGAAGTGCCTGTTAAAAAAAACAAACATTCTCTTGGAAGAGCTTAAAGTTCGCATAAACTCGTATAAGGTGTGACTTGTGAGAAAATGGCAGGCACATTGGATAAGAGGTCCAAATTTCTAAAAATGCAGGAACCTCAGGTCTATAATTACAATTAACAAAGATGGAACTACAACCATTTCACAAAGACTATGTTCATGGAAGTTAACACCTTGACAGGAGAGTTTTCTGAGAAGAGGGGTTGAAAAAAATCACCATGCAAGTTCACTGCAGTTAGCTAAAGAAGTAAAAAGCCAAACTGGGGTGATTGTTTCACGTGACACAATTCGGCATACACTGCAGAGCAATGCATGAGTGTCGTCCATGAAGGAAGCCTCTCCTAAACCCCATGCACAAAAAAGCCCATGCACAAATAAGCCCACCTAAAATTTGCCAGGGCCCATGCTGAAAATGAAGACTACTGGGACTTTATACTCTGGAGTGAAGGTACATTTTTTTTTTTTGAACTGATGGCTTCAAAACTGTGCGGTGTCGCAAAGGTGAGGCGTACAAAGAAAAATGCATGGTGCCTACAGTGAAACATGGTGGTGGCAGTGTCCTTCTGTGGATCTGCAGGAGTGCTGCTGGTGTCGAGGAACTGCATTTCATTGATGGTACCATGAATTCACGGATGTACTGCTCTATATTGAAAGAGAAGATGCTACCATTACTCTGTGCCCTTGGTCATCGTGCATTTTTCCAACATGGCAATTATCCAAAACACACAATTAAGCCCACTGTTGCATTTCTGAAGAAGAACAGTGAATCAGTGGCCAAGTATGTCTCTTAATCTGAACCCAATTGAACACCTATGGGGAACTCTAAAGAGACAAGTTGAGCATCACTCCCAATCCAGCATCCAGGCTCTAACAGAGGTTGTTTTTAAAGAATGGAAAAAGATAGATGCAATATGTCACCAACTTGTTCATTCCATGCCTAGAAGAACTGGTGCTGTCCTTACAAATCATGGAGGTCATAAAAAATACTACATGTAGTAGTTTTTGTTGCGGGGTGTATTCATTTTTGCATCAGCTAAGTTGAGTAAAACTGAAGATCTTGTAATCCAAGTTATATTATTTAACTTACTTTCATGTAATGAGCTAAACAAATGTTCTATAAAACTCAGTTTTGTCAAAATTTTGGAAATTGTTAGTGCTCATTGAAATATTGATTAAAATCTTACTTTTTAAAAGAGGTGTACTCTTTTATCCTGAGCACAGAATGTTAAGCTGCAATTCTTGTTACTACAACATTAAGCTCTAACAAAAAGGAACAAAAGACCAACGTTTACAGCTCTTGGGGTTCAAAAAGTTTAAAATAAAACTATATTAGAAATTTTCAGTGTTCTTACTGTGATTTACATTACTTTTTAACATTACTATCTCACTGCTGTGGTTTTACAACTATATATTTATTTTAATTGTTCAATCAATTTTACTAGCTATCAATACTGGCAATGAAAAACATGCATAGTTTAAAAAGAGCCATACTATAAATGAATCATAATTAAACATCCTCATACAGTAGTTTCACAGCAACTTCTTGAAAATACACATTTTTACATTTATATTGTGTTTTCAGAACTCATAGGCTGCATACACACACAGCTTAAAAAAGACCACAGTTATAGGGGTTCAGTGTTTTTTTTTTTTTCAGCCTGTAAACACACCTCTATGTAAACATATGGGGTTTATTTACCAAAGCTGGAGAGTGCAAAATCAGGCTCACTTGTGCATAGAAACCATTCAGCTTCCAGGTTTTATTGCCAAAGCTTAATTGAACAAGCTGAGGTTAGGAGCATTTACAGGCAGAAAAAAACACCAAAAGGTGCATTCAGGACAGAGGCCAAAGAGCAGAAAAACCACTGAATGCAACTAAACATGTGTAAACATTTCTAAATGCTAGATGAGCCTAGCACTTGAGTATTAATGTATTTCTGACCAATGGGATACATTAACGATAAAACGCTTGACGCACCTAAACACACTTAAATCATGTCTAAATGCATGTGCAATATGTGGCTTTAGGCACGTTTTTAAGCAGCTTTTTTCCATTCAGGAGTTCTGGCATTCAGATGGCTAAACAGGCGCCCTGTGTGCATGAGGCCTTACTGAGTCAGTATTGTTACTATGCTTACACTACAGTTTTTCTACAAATGTTATTGAATTTGAATTGAATAGTGCTTAATGAGCTGAAAGGGAGCTAATTAGTGCACTTGTACTTCATTCACAAGCCCTGCAGCTTTTAAACAGACAGCCTGTACAGAGGTACAGGGTGAAAATCTGTATGACCTCTCTGCAAGAGCCTGACATTATTATTATTATTCTCTGCCAAGAGCTGTACATTACAAAGGGGGACAGAACATTGCAAACATGCAAAAAACAGAGGGGATGAGAGGGGATCGAGGGCCCTGCTCTTTCAAGCTTACATCTAGGGATTCAATGCTCTGATCATGGGTTCAATGCTCTGCAGGCTCTGCGGGAAAAAATAATAAATGCACATTTTTTTTCTGCAAAAATATGTGCATTTATTATTTTTCCCAAAAGGTGATCTTATCCTTTAAAATGAACATTGATAGCAGTGAAAGGGGAAAAGCCTCACATGTTACTCACACATTTTTTTCTGCTTCATATATTTCATGCTTTTTAAAAATGATTAAAGTTGTCATAAACCTCTAAAATGAAAAATAAACAAAGCATATACCTCTATGGTGTACACTTGCCTTGATCCAAAGAACCAAGTAATTGCTCTGCTATCTGCATGAGTCACATCTAACAGTCTATGCTGACACCAGACAATCCCAGAAGATGACCCCCCTCTAGCATACAGCAGGTGATTGACAGCCTCAAGCTGTGCATGTTTCCCTATCAGACTGTATAGAGGGAGAGTATGTTCATTCCCTCCACTCAGGTCTCAGACTACTCTCAGCTCTGTGCTATGCAGTATGACATCAGATCCCTGATCCTTACTTTCTGAAGCTCAGAAATGCTGTGTAAAATGTATGCTTTAGGAGGCAGTAGAGGAGAGAAGCCACAGATAAACAAGTACCACTTATGTAGGAGGATATGATTTAACATTGTGTGTCACCTGAGAGTAGTCATTTCAGTGCATATACTGTATGTAAGGGTTTACAACCACTTAACAAAAAAAACTTGTCCGGTTTATTGTGTTTTTGATTATAGTTAAAATTACCAGTCCTATATTGGATTTTTAAGCAGATGTTTTCAGACTGTGACTATTCAATGTGTAACTACAAAAGGTATATAAATATATAAGTTTGGTTTTGTCAAATATATCCTACTCTAAACATGGGATGACTTGGTCAATACATTATAAATACGGTATGCAAGAGAATGCAGTGCAACAACAGAACTGTAAGTAAGTAATCACAAAAAAAAAATGCATTATTATTTCTATCAGCATGGCTAAAATAACCCAATACACAACTGCTGATATC